CCAATTTAGTCACGGTTTTTCATATTTCAATTGAAAGGTACAGTCTAAGCTATTTGTACGGACGAGGTCAGACCTACCACTAAGGCTTCCTCGTTGAGCGCGCCTGGCCACATTAGAATAGGCAACTGTACAGCAAAGAAAATGCCGCAATGGTAGGCCCGACTCTGCGCGTGCAGCTGACTCGGTCGGTGCCTATGGTCCGAGTCACGCTTCGTTCATACCATCCTAGGCAAAAGCGTGAACCTCTTCTGGATGTGTAAAAAAAGATGATGAATATGATAAGCAGCTGTGTCTCTCCTCGCAGCTTCTCTTAGCAGCTGAAAGCTGCTTCCTTACAATGGTGACGCGTGCGGCTGGGCGACGGCCCCATCCGCGCCACAACTGCGCGCGTCTCATGCCGGTCGTCTCGGAGTAACAGAGTGGAAACAGCTTAATACAGTTATGTTCAGAAATTCAAAATCCTCTTTCGTCCGGATATCGAAATTCAAAAGACCAATCTCGAAGTCCACGACGACACGGAATTGCAAGATTTTCACCAATTATAATCTAGATGTAATAATGTAGGTCTCGAATTACTGTAGTGTTTGACGGTGTAGTATCTTCAGTCACTCTAGTCACATTTTTTTGTTCACATTTCGATGTTTTCTCTCTTTTTTGACTCCTCGAACATTCCTGAATTATTTTTTCATACATTTTGGTATGCCTTATAATATGAAAGCAAATCCTTCTCACCCCTTTTTCTCCCTATTGATATTCGAAATTATCTTATTCTTTTGAAATAGGAATTGAGACACTTATTCTGAAGGTAGCTAGAGGGTGCCAGGCGGCTGCGGAACTATGAAAGATCAAGTCTGCTCAGCTGCGCGCTCTAAGTGAACAAGTTATGGATGTCAGCATCTAAGTCCTCAACTGCCCACCTGGCACGCCCTAACTGCCTCTGGCCCTTTATCCATTTATTTTTCTGCGCACCAGACATTGTCCACTTTCTACGAGCGCTTTCTCAAGAACCGCTGTTACCAGTTAATAATCGCCATTTCAAGTAGTTATTGAATGAGCTAGCGAGCAGAATACTCACTCAGTTGAATATGAAAGCGTCGGCAGAAAACGACAAAGCACCAAAAATCCCTTTTCGAGAATCTCCACTCACACTTTCCTCACCTCTCTTTGGAAATGAGGAGCAAAGCCAGCGATCAGGCAATAGTGTCGTATATGTAAAATATATTATATTATATGGATTGTATTGGCTGTATAAAACTTATTTGTAGCTGTTGTAGCTTTCCTTGAGTACCATTGAGGGCCTTGTGAGAAATACAAAACTACCGGCAGAAGCTCGATTACTTATGGTCAGTATCCAAGTTGGAGCGTGTCCTCCACTAGAACTTGGATACTGACCATAAGTAATCGAGGTTCGAAATAAAACAACTAATAAGAATACCGGCAGAATTGACTTCTCTGAGTTCGCCATAACGTATATGTATGGATCTGTAAGTGAACTGATTGAACCCTCTCAGCATATGGG